TCACTCTGTTCTACCCGCACCACCCCCATTTTTCCCCCACGGCTCCCGTACACCTCCAACACCTCCATACTTTCATTTCTTCCCCCGGTCTCCTCTGCGAACGTGCGGAATAACCCCACGCTTTACTGCCTACTTTCACCGCTCAACTCCGTCGCGCCATTACCGACTCCTTAACCTGCAACAAAAACTCACCACACACACACCACACCAAACAACTCAAATTTTCACCGTACCTCCCGTTTCCATCTTCCTTCTTTCTGCCGGTCGCGTCGTCCGTCCACGACCTCATTCCCTCTCCCTTCTCGCTCCCCTCCGCTCCGACTCTCTCCTCTCTCCTTCTGGAACTTTCCTTCCCTTCTTCTTCTCCGCTCACTCCTTTCCCTCATTTTTTCTCTTTTTTTTTTCTTTTTTTTTCTTTCTCTTCTCCATTTCCCGACCTCCTTTTATACCCTGCTAGCCTACCCAAAACAACGTCGTTTTCCTTCATCCCAAAACGACGTCGTTTTTTTTCTTTCAAAACGACGTCGTTTTTCCCCTCTTTAAAACGACGTCGTTTCCTACCTATTAGAAATTTATTTATTTATTTATTTATTTTTTTTTTGTTTCTAGTCCTTACAACACTAGGAATAACCAATATAGTCTCCTAAAAAGGAAAACTGACGGCAATAAGAAAAACTGTATAATAATTTATAAACGCTAGGAGTTTTCCTATTCAAGTTCACAAAGTTTGAAATTTTACAATGTAATTTAGACATACTTTTAACTTCATTGGGGATATTAGAGTACCCGATATTTCTGTCCCATCTCTAGTGCAATTCATCCAATTGCATGAAATTCACTCTTCTTTGTTGTCTTTATCTATTTGGTTTGAACTCTCGGTTGTAGCAAACTGGAGTATCCATCTGATCAATAATGCTCTGCAACCCTGATTTATAACTAGGATGAAGAAGCCTCAGTCCTAGTTCCTTCTTCACCCGTGCATTAGAAACTCTTTTATCTCTTCTTAAAATTCCTTTCTGTTCACATGGTTTTGCCATTGAGCATGCAGCTTCATGGTTGATATAGCCAGGCCACTTTCTCTCTATCAACTCCAGGGCATATCGAAATACTCCTTCCCTTGGAGTTGAATTGTCATCTACGATATTATAAATTTTCCTGAAGAAGTGTGATTCATGAGGAAAAAAAAAAGGATTGGAGATAAGACTGGAAGGGAAGTCTAGAAAAATGAAATACAGAAAGTATAGTCCAATAGCCACCATCCTACTCACAAAAATAACAATAGATCTCCACAACCTGTCCCAGTCATTTATTGTCTGAAGTGTCAGATGCTCACTCCCAAAATAAACCAAACAGACAAGAAAAAACCACAAAAGACTTCTTCCCAACTGCGAAGAGAAGCTATAATAGACTGAAGCAAGTTTCACAGGGAATATAATTAAAGCATACCCAGATGATGGCATAAAAATGGCAGCCTTAAGTGACTGACTAATGTCCTCAACATGGACTCTAGACGTGAATTGCCTGGACACTCATTTTTTGACCTTCCGAGAGTGGCTTCTGCTTAACAATTGTATCAACCGCACTGCAGCAGGAAAGAGTTAGTCAGAGAATCGACCTTAAGCATAGTGAGACAAGGATCCCCATTTGAGCCTACAAACATTTGGATATCAAATTAGCTTCTATATCTGTTTCTGCAGTTAATATATATACTCCAGGACAAGATTTATATGCGGAGACACTGAAGAGGTAATTCTTTATCTACTGGACGTACAAGAAGCATCAAGAACGACCATGCAAAAATATTTGTCACAACCTTCTACCCGGGCCATAGATACCTCCAAGTCGAAATACTTGTGCTGAAAGGCCAAGATCATGTGCCAGGTTTAACCATCCTTTCTCAGCAACTATGCTCATTTTGGCCAACTCACTAGAAGGGCGAGCTGGGTAACTGTTTTATGATAATGCATGTATCGGCATCTTACATTATCAAATACAAGCTCATGCCAAAATCAAAAGCTCATGTTACACTTGGAAAACACTTACTCCTCATCCACCAATTCACCACCACAATGTCCATATACACCTGTCAGACATCAGTAGTATCCCAATATCCAAAATGAGCTTCAGGCGCTTGAAGAAACCATAATGTTGGACTCATTAGTTCAAGGAGAAAGCCACAAAGATGCAGAAACTATAACGATTTATAAGAATTTTTACTAGTTTCTTGTACACCATCATCATTTGTATCCATGTATAAGTTTCTATCATGGAAACCATGTATATTTATATCTATCTATCTACATATTTATGCATGTATAGACCAATGTAAATCATATGAACGATATTAGAGATATATTCTCCTTCCTCAGGTGTGAACTATTGAATAGAATTCAGTACTACTTCCTTAATGCCACATAGTATTAATTTTAAGATGAATAAGGTACCATTGGGTTCAAATGTCAATTATTTAGAACATGGATATAAATATAATAAAAATGCAATAAAGATTAAAAGAAGTCTTTAAATACCACATCAAATTTCATGTTTAATTCAAAACTAGGTATACTGTGATCCCTATGTTGAGAAAAGTAAAGTCATCAGTTTAGAATTTAAAACAATATGGAGCTGGCTTAACTGCAAATCAAAATATCAATCTACATAATAAATCAATGAAATCATGGAATAGAGTGAGAATAATATATATTTGAATCAAACATGTCGTAAATAGTTTGGAAAAATTTAGACATAAAGATGAAGATTGGAAACAAATTCCAAATACTTTTGATAATTTAATTCCATTAACTTTTTCTCAACATAAAGGAGTACACACTAGTTGATGATAACTAGCAGAGCCACTGAAGATTTCCATCAGAAAGTTCCTGCCTTAGAAGTTCCCCATGCTGCAGCACCTTCAAATTTGAAAATAAACTAGCACACTAAGAGAGATTGTCATAAATATGAAAAATTGAATCAAGACATTATTCATTGATTGAGTTGCATAGCATCTATAGAAATACCAGATCACCAACACCTGGGATAGGAGGGATTGAGACAAGGAGATGTGTATGATATTTTATGGTGTTTAGGGTGCTCCGTCTGAGAAGCAAAACAGAGGCAAGCATCAGAATAATATAGAAATTTTTCTTTCCTAGTTGAATGTATGATTTTAGGTCACTAAAACAGAATGACATGGAAAGAGAAAACTCACTCTGGCTCCATTGCATTGAAAAGGTGGACATCAAATCCCCTCTTTTCCAGTTCATTCTTTTTCACGGCAGTTGTGCAAGTGCCAGAAACATCCCTAAATGCCAATTCAACCAGCAATGTCAATCCTTGTCCTAACAAATTTCAAATGCAAATGCTTCATACACAGAGGTTACCGAAAATTCTTAAAAATTAAAAGTTGAATTTATCATCTAGAATTTGTCTAGAACAAGTAAAATATGAATTTGTCAAGACCTGGGGGTACTGTGGTATTGTTGAAACAAGCATATATTTTTTTAGAAAAAAGTGTAAACAGTCTATTAGTGTTATAGCAGCAAGGGGGTGCAAGTCATGTACAAAATTATTTACAGCTCAGTTAGACTATCCATGACATCCAAAATCCTCCACCCTATACATGTCGTGTCCCAAAAAAAGGATCAAAATAATGATACCAACTATCCTTAATTTTTGCCATATCATTCTCCACCCTTTAAAAACCCTCGTATTTCCAAACCACTCACAGAATAATCAAAGGAATAAGTTTTAAAATTTTTTTCTTTTTACAAATCCTACCCGACACCCAAATCTCCTCCTTCACCAATTACCCAGCAGACTATAGACCACGAACCATAAACTATGAGCAATAGAACACCATAAAAGAATATGATTGCAGGTCTCAGCCGCTCTTTTACATAACTAACATGCATTCGCCGTCACTCTTCTCCTACTTATCAGCTTATTATTGGTCAAAAGTACACTCACTCCCTGCCTTCCAAGCGAAGAAAGCAATTCTAAGCGGTGCACGTGCTTTCCAGATCTGTTTATAAGGGAAAACTGAAACCTTGTTGTCATTAGAATCCATCAATACATCATAAAAATATTTTACAGTTAACTGACCATCTTGCTTTGGTTTCTGCACCAGTAAGTCACTAATTATAGTCACTTGAACACAAGAGAGCATCTGCAGTAACTCTTCATATTCCCCAACCTCCCAGTCATTCAAATTCCACATCATCTCCACATTCTACACCTCCCCAGGCCTCCCACCTTCATAGGCATCCTCCACCACAATAAATTTATTCTTCACAGTAGCAAAAATTTGTGGAAATTGATCTTTAAGCTTCCCAATACCAATCCACTCATCAAACTAGAAAAGAATTCTATCTCCCCTTCCTAACTGCCACTTATAACATGATGAGAGAATTTTATGCTGTTTATACCATCTTCTCATAACTCAACCACTGAGATTGATGCGA